GATTGTTGATCGGGACCCCACCTGAATCTTACGCCTTTCTTTTTCAAGTAGTTCAATGGTCTACTGATTTCGGAGAAATTAGGTATGAACTTGGCATAAAAAGCAGCCATGCCGATAAATCGTTGTACACCCTTTAAATTGCGTGGTCGAGGAAAATTACTAATAACCTCAGCTTTAGTATCGTCCACATACAGTTTACCATCCTTTACTATGTGTGACAGGAAACGCATGCCCCTCTTTGCCAAGGTGACCTTGCTAGGTTTGATCGTAAGTCCGGCGGCTCTTAGACGTTCCAAAACCATTTTCAAGTCATTGTAATGGTCCTGTGGGTTTGCGCTATAAATGCAGAGGTCGTCGACAAAGTTTATTACACATTTAAATTTTAAGTCTCCTAGCATTTCGTCGACTATGCGTCCTAACACCTGGCTGCCGATTTTTATTCCTTGGGGACAAGTACGAGGCTGATATAAGGCATATCCTACATTGAAAGCGGCGTATTTCCTACTATCAGGGTGTAAGAGGCATTGGTAATAGCTATTGTTCAAATCAAGTGTAGTGAAATAACGAGCATCTTTAAAATAAGGAAAAACTTTATCTACTTCTGGTTGTGGGAAACTGTCCATTTCAATAAACTTATTTAATTCTTTATAATTGACTACCAATCTAAATTTCCCGGGTTCCTTTTTTGGTCTTAGGAAGGCGCTAGAACTGAACTCTGAAACACTTTTTTCTATTACCCCTTCATCTAGTAATTGTTGCACAGTATTTCTCATTATTACCATCTTATCTGGCTGGACGTGGTAAGGTCTTTGTCGGAATGGCACAATATCCTTACTAAAACGAATTTTGTAAGGCTCAGTCTTAGCTAAGCCGATTTTGTCTGTGACAACGTCGCTAAACTGTCGAAGCAGGTTTTCGAAGCTATTTCGTTCGACTTCCGTGAGCGGTGAGTCACCCAGATCGGGTTTATCACACGTTGGGATCTCTCCTTCTCCTATCAAACAATATGATTTAATACTCTCCCTAAACTTAAACTCCGCTGTTGAATCACCTAAATTCACGGACATTCGCGCAAACTTCATAAAATTGTACCCCAATATTAACTGTAACGGAAGTTGATTAACTACCCAGAAATTGTAGTCCCATGACAGATTATCTATCTTAAAATGAACTTTGACTTCCGTCCGTACAGTTATCTTCTGACGGTTCGCGACTTCTACTGATTGATTAATTTTACTTGACTGTTTGATCAAATTCGCACTTTTCAACTTATTAAAAAGTGTTTTACTAATCAATGACCTACTACTGCCAGTGTCTATCAGCGATAGGCAATCTATATTGTTTCCAAACAATACCTTAATCAGCGGCAGTTTCGCGGATACATCTGTTGCTTGCATGCTTTTGTTGGGCGATAACTTTACAGTTCGACGTTGTGTGCCCTTGACAACGTCGGAATCTAGTTTAAAGAAACCCTACAGTTCCTAGCGATATGACCTTCACCTTGACAACGATAACATTTTACGATCCTTTCCCTGGGTCTATTACGTAGATCGTTTGACGACGTAGTTGGATTATGACGAGTTTGGTTTACAACCCTAGGCGACGAATTAATCAAAGGGCGTCGATTTGCATTACCAAAATATCTCTCTTCGGCACGCATTGAACTAGTGATTCTATTTGCGAATGATTTTAGCTCAAATAAGCTTTGCGGCATTTGACCGAACGAAAAATGACTTCGAACAGTTGGATTACATTTTGTCAAAGCAATCTCAATCACCTCGCCTTCTGACATTGACGATTTTAAAGCGAATGCGATAGATATGATGTGATCGACGTATTCTGAAAAAGTTTCATTCGGTTGTTGTGGTCGATCTAACTCAAACGATGCAATCTCTCGTCGCCTAATTGACGGAATAAATCGGTGTAATATCTCGTCGTGTAAGACATTCCAGCGTGCGTTACTTGATACTGCTTCTAAGAACAATTGGAACATTTGACCTTTGACCTTAGGGATAATAAGTTTAATGATCTCTGTATGACAATTCGGAGAAATATCAAATATTGGTTTGATGTTTTTGAGAAATGAAATTAATTCAAGTTCATCTGTGCCGTCGACTATGTTCAATTTATTAATTAATTCAATTACCACGATTTGATCAGTTTTGGAAAGTGATTGACTGACATTGTATGCGTGAGCGTGTACGTGTGTGTCATGGTGAGTGTATGTGAGAGGTCGAGTGTGTGGGTGTGGGTGTTGGGTATGGTCAGTGAGGGTGTGTTGCGACTGTACAGTGGCACTGGCCGGGGCAACAGTAGTCAGAGAACCAGTCGCTACAGGAAATGACGCGCGTTGTTGTGCATTCGCTATCTCTCTCTCTCTCACACACTCGTTCGAAGGTTGAATATCCACATACGATGAGCTATTGGCATGACTGTTGTTTTGATTTATATTCGACGTACTTGATAGTATTTCAGTCAATTCGTGGTTGTTTAGGTCCATTAAACAACTATTAGAATTTTGTCTAATTGGCGATGGTTGGTCATCGTTTACGATCGGTAAACGACAATCGGAATTTTGTCTACTTGGCGACGGTTCGTCATCGTTCACGATCGGTAAACGACAATCGGAATTTTGTCTACCTAAATTAGCTCCATTGTCATTTGGTGGAACTATTTCATTGTTATGGTTGATCGTTGCATTTAAATCGATTAATTCCCCTAAATTTCTCCTTAACATACGGTCACGTCGGTCATTCGCAGTTGTATTATACCCAGGCCCAAATTGTTGGTGCATTTTTTTTCGCTAGGAAAATAATTCGATTTACGGTGATATATCTGACTTTAACAAAATGAATATTCCACGATGACAAAAACTAATTGACAATTAATTACAGCACAATACACAATGACGATGGCAATAACAATAGAATTTCTTATAATCTAAACAATTTCAGTGAATCGCACAGACACAAACAGTACCAAGAGATCACGCGATGATATCATTTATTTGTAAAGAAAAAAACTCAGACTTTGACTCTCATATATTTAAATATTATATTTAAATATATTTACTCCTTGCAATGCTCTTTAATGAATTCTTTACAAATGTTGGTTGCCCCTAGGTTGGAAGAACTCTAGAAAATAAAAATATCAGACAGAGCTTTTTGGCAGTGGAAGCTTGATGTTAATGAAAAATATGAGTGGACCCTGCAAAATATAGATATTCCCCAAAGGTCCTTAGGGGACGCCCCTGGCACTGTTTGTAGTTCTTCCAATAAAGTAATACCTTTAATGAGATCAATTTACCAGTCTTAATTCTACACTGAATTTACTTGCTCACTACTACACTAGTGACTAGTGTTGCACTTAAAAGGTGAATTTTTTGTAGTGGCTTATGATTTACTGAATTACCTTTTGTTTATCAATTAAATACTATTTCATATACTAGAATACCAAGGTTATTGAGAACTAAAAGTGAGTAACAAGTGGAGTTTATTGCACAGAATTTAATAATACACTTATTTCAGTTTACAGTCGTTGTTGTGTTCTTTCAAGTAAAAATGACCTTGAGATACACAATCAGTTGGAAATTTATTGAAACTGTTGAATGGATTTATCAAAGGGGAGGTACGGTGCGGTTTCACACCGATCTCGAAAGTATCAATGGAAGAGTGGTATTTAATCTAATGGTTGAGATGACCTGTACCAAGCAAATCCTTTCGTTGGCCAACGATTAAAAACGAAGGTCGTCTCGCAGTCCAACTGATTGAACAATATTGTATTCAATCGTAGTAATGTTTATCAGAATGTTGCTTTATTATTTTATAGCTAATTTGGCACTTTGGTGGTTCATCTATGTTCAAACTGGCACAACTTCCAACAACACTTCCGTATCAATCGAACCAGCTACCTGCTCCCTTCTCTGATAATAATTTATTTCCCCCAAAAGATACTGACTGTGACACTCTTTAAAATAATTGTACCATTTGCTCAACAATGAAAATTAACAATGACTCTGTGTAAAAATTCCAACACTATAAAAATCTTATTAAATAACTCTGAATTGCCCTATAAAAACATTTTTACCTATTTATTCTTAATACTATAGGGTTGTTACAGTCTAATTAATAAAGCGGATTGCTACAATATGAATGGATATGAAAATCAGTGATTTGAATTCGAACCTGTGAACATGTGCTTATTCTACATGAAATGACAAAACAAGACAGGAAAAATTTACAAAAGTGCGACTCACTGAAATCTTAAATTAACAAATAAATAACACAAATTACTTACAGTTTGGACGTCCACAAATATAACACAAATAAAGGGGAAGGGATTGGGAAATGTAACTAGCCGGTATTCTACAAGACGCGATCAATTGAACTCGTGAAACGAACGTGTAATTTTCAAATGGCGGAACTGCGTTGGCCGGTAACGAACTTTTTCACTTTCTGACAATGACACTGATACTAATTTCCAATCGCGGGGCAATTATATCCCTTAGGGATATAGGCTGTACGATTTTAAGGAAAAATAAGATTGCCCGACCAAACGCCGCGAAATGAATTTAATTTCCACGAACGAAAAACAATTTTACCGAACTAGCTACGATGAGATTTGGATAGGAACTGGCCTGCTGGAAGCAAGTGACCATCCGGCTAGACCTTATTCCCCCTCCTACTTTAGTGCGTGGTGCATTCTGGTCTATACTGATCTATTGTTTAAACCAGCTGACTGTTCTTCGCGTTACCCTGTATTGATTTGTTGCCTTTTTACAACAAAATCGGTACAGAATTAACAATAACCATATGAGGATTTTTAAACCAATCAAACACGAGCTTTTGTAAAAAAAATTTTGATGTTTAAAATCTTGAAAACAAGTATGCTGTTAAAATTTCTGTCAAGTGTCATGAGTTGTATTTCTCCTAATTCATAGTATTGTATTATTTACGTTTTGGGCATTAATAGTTCTAAACATCATTGTTGAATGCTCCCAGATGGTTGCAAGCAAATTTCTTCATGACGACGGAGAAGAAGATGAAGTTTTCAATGCTGAATGGGCGTACTCAGGAGGTCTCAAATTGAAGGAAATGAACCAATTAGAAAGAGAATTCCTTAATGCAATTGTGAGTAACTTAGTCTAGTGGCTTTAATAAAAAAAAACTTGTTTGAAAAATGAGACATTTCTGTGTAGTTTTCTATAGAATTATAAACTTCATAACAGTATATCTAAAAGTGGAGTTTAAATTAATGTTTAAACATAATTGGAGGTACGCATTGTTTACTATAATTTGCATATAAGATAATTTTCACTACCACTCAGCGTATTCACTGATAAAGAAACTTCTTTTGCTGTAGTTAGGGAGTAGGCCTGGTCATCCGTTCGGTAATAGAATGATTCAGTTATAACTCTTAGGCAGTGAAGGGTTATTTTGGGATTGCTAGAATATTATCCCCTGGGCAAAGTTGACGTCACTATGATGTAGTAACCTGAGCGCTCTGAAGTTTGTTTGTGGGCGGAGTTTTACCCCCGCGGATTTGGGAGTCTAATAATAAATTAGATTAGGTAGCATTACAAACCGGAATTTTACCCACTGTCCGTATAGCTAGCGTTTAGGCAACTGTAGATGTACGACCCAGATTTTTACCCTTAGATTTTTACCCCCCGGGATTTTACTCCCGGAATTTTACCCTCTGTGCAGATATAAAAATTAGTGAGGTTAATTAATTTTATGATTTCAGTTTTGATTGAATAGTAAATATTTTATTATTAATTAAAGTAGCTTATCTTAATTTTAGGGGTGTGCGAATATTCAAAAGTTTGAATAGTTGAACGAATACTTTAGTATTCGAGCCCGACTCGATCTTAATGAGTATATTCGAACATTTGAATAGTAGGCCTAAACAAACCTAGAAATAATCTCTAATTTCAACCAAATAAACCATGGTATTGTGTTGTTGCCCTGGAAAAAGAAAACTGCACAGGTCTACCTGAAGATAAAGCAGAAACCGCAGCAAGAAAAAAGGACTATGACCTTGTAACGAGCCAATTTTTTCAAAACACTTTTTTCCTTCCTCCTTAAACCTTACGACTCCTTTCCGCCGTCCCCAGTCAACTTCCGCCGCGCCACACCACCTTCCGCCACCCCATATATCCTTTCGCCACGACCTCCGCCCATTTCCTTACCTTACATCTCCTTTCCGCCGCCCCTAGTTGACTTCCGCCACCCCACATCGTCTTCCGCTGCCCTACCTATCCTTCCGCCACGACCTCCGCCCATCTCCCTACCTTACGTCTCCTCTCCGCCACCCCACATCTTCTTCCGCTGCCCTACCTATCCTTCCGCCATGACCTCCGCCCATCTCCTTACCTTACGTCTCCTTTCCTCCGCCCCTAGTCGACTTCCACCGCCTCACATCGTCTTCCGCTGCCCTACCTATCCTTCCGCCACGATCTCTGCCCATCTCCCTACCTCACGTCTCCTTTCCGCCGCCCCCAGTCAACGTCCGCCACCCCACATCGCCTTCCGCTGTCCTACCGATCCTTCCGCCACGACTTCCGCCAATCTCCCTACCTCAAGTCTCCTTTCCGCCGCCCCTAGTCGACTTCCGCCGCCTCCCATTGCCTTCCGCTGCCCTACCGATCCTTCCGCCACGACTTCCGCCCATCTCCCTACCTTACGTCTCCTTTCCGCCGCCCCCAGTCAACTTCCGCCACCTCACATCGCCTTCTGCTGCCCTACACCGATCCTTCCGCTGCCCTACCGATCCTTCCGCCACGACTTCCGCCCATCTCCCTACCTTACATCTCCTTTCCGCCGCCCCCAGTCAACGTCCGCCACCCCACATCGTCCTTCCGTCCCTATTGCTGGAGCAATCCAAGCAATCCGTTCCTGTTGCTAGAGAAATCCGAGCAATCCGTCCCTATTGCTAGAGAAATCCAAGCAATCCGTTCCTATTGCTAGAGAAATCCGAGCGATCCGTCCCTATTGCTAGAGAAATCCGAGGAATCCGTCCCTATTGCTAGAGCAATCCCAGCAATCCGTTCCTATTGCTAGAGCAATCCGAGCAATCCGTCCCTATTGCTAGAGAAATCCAAGCAATCCATTCCTATTGCTAGAGCAATCCGAGCAATCCGTCCCTATTGCTAGGGAAATCCAAGCAATTTCATTTCATTTCATTTCATTTCATATAACTTTATTCATTAAAGTACAATACATAGATACAGGAATGGCGTCAAGAGTAATTTAATAAAACTAACTAACTAAAATACTCATCATTATCATGCATGGCATAATAACATACCATCAATATTAATAGCTTTTCAGATCAAATAAATTAAAACAAGCAGTGCAATATGAAAGTTTATACATGAAAATATCAAAATTAAAAATATAGATAAAATTATTTTAAAACCAAAAGTTTCAATTGATATTAAACAGAGCAATTAATAACTTAAAGAACTAAAACTCTTCAAAGGAGTACATAGCCTTGTTGATAAGAAACTTTTTCAATTTTGATTTAAATTTATTTTTGGAAGTTTCTAATTTGATTTCTTTAGGAAGTTTATTATAAAATTTGGAACCGGAATATTTAGGTGTCTTCGTAAAAAGTTGCAGAGTATGTGAGCTTGTGGCCAGGTTTTCTCGATTTCTAGTGAAGTAATTGTGATAGTCTCCAATAAGTTGTAATTCATTAAATCTGTCCTTTACTGATAATACTGTTTCATAGACATACATTCCATAAACAGTCATAATATTCTCAGTTTTAAAATATTCTTTGACTGAAGTTCTGCGTTTTAAATTGCACAAAATTCTAATAGCTTTCTTTTGCTTTTTTAGAATTGATTTTAATTTTTTCTTTTTTGCTGCACCATAAAGTGAAACTCCAAATGATATGATTGAATGTATGTACGAAAAATATATAATTTTTAAAGTTTCCTTTTCACATAGGGGTTTTAATCTTGTTAGCGCATAAAGGCCAGATGAAATTTTAGAAAGTAACTGATCAATATGATGATTCCACTTCAAATTTTCATCAATTTCTAATCCCAAGAATTTAATGTGGTCTTTATTTTGAATTATGTTGTTATTAACTACAATTTTTGGCAGATTTTGCGGTTTAGTTTTTCCTGCTTGGAAACACATAAAATTAGTTTTATGTGTTTTATGTGTTAGCAATCAATCCTTATTGCTAGAGAAATCCAAGCAATCCGTCCGTATTGCTAGAGAAATCCAAGCAATCCGTCCTTATTGCTAGAGCAATCCAAGCAATCCGTTCCTATTGCTAGAGCAATCCGAGCGTTCCGTGACTAATATTGACTAATATTGACTAATATTGACCAATACTAATATTGACTAATATTGACCCTAGCCATTTTAGAGTAACGGGTATAGTAACTCATATATCTGATCATGATGGCCAAATCATGGAGTTTAAGAATATTAAAGCAATAAAAAATAATTTGATCAGAAAAAAATTAAGAAAGTTTGATTGTAATAATATACATTCTTTTTGTAAAAGTTTAAGTTCTGAGTCTTGGTCTGCTGTTTTCCAATCTACTGTCTTTACTAAGTATTATAGTTTTTATAATATTTTTAAATACCATTTTGATGTTCACTTTCCAAAGCAATATGTTACTGAAAAACAATATAAAGCTAATAAATGGATTGATGAAGTGTTGAGAACAAAGCAATCTGAAATTGTTAAGCTAGAAGCACAGTTAAGAACACATAAAGATATAATCTTAGTAATCAAAAAATAAGAAAAACAAAAAGGATCTCAAACATCTGATTATAAACAATAAAAAGAGATATTTTGAGAGAAAAGTCATGAGCTCAAAAAATAAAATTAAAACTACTTGAAATCTGTTAAATGCAGAAACATGCAAACCTTCTAAGATAAATAAAAACCTTAAAATATTTTATCAAAATAAATATATTACAGAACCAGTTATGATTTGTGAAACATTTAATAACTTCTTTGTGAATGCTGTTAAAGAATTAATTATAACCAACATAAAATCAAATCACTTAACAACCACCTGCAATCCGACCAATGTGTTTTCCAAAATCACATTTAAATTTAAAACAGTAACAGAAAATGATGCAGGAAAAATATTATCACCACTGCAAAATAAGCTTTCCACCGGGAATGATGATATTCATTCACAATAGTTAAGGCATCATGGCAATTCATATCCATTCCTTTGACTCATATTATTAATCACTCATTAATGTCAGGTATTTTTCCAGACCAGTTTAAAGTGGCAAAAGTGATCCCCATTTTTAAAAAGGGAGATCCCGAGGAGTCAGATGCTATAGGCCTGTATCATTGCTTCCTGTATTTTCAAAAATTTTAGAAAAAATTGTGTACAACCAACTTTTAGATCACCTTGAAATAAATTTCCTCTTAGATGAGCAGCAGCATGGTTTCAGACGAAAGAAGTCCACCATAACAGCAGGTGTGGAATTTGTTGAGTCAATCATAAATTCAATTGATAAAGGTGAAAAAGTCATTGGTATCTTTTTGGACCTGTCTAGAGCCTTTGACACTGTAGACCACAGTACTCTCATAAATACACTAAGCTCTCTTGGAGTTAAAGGTACAGAATTGGCATGGTTTAAATCTTACATTTCAGATAGGAAACAGTTTGTAGAAATAAGTCATTATTTTAATAATTCAAACCCTATATATAAGGAGACATATAGTTCGAGCTTGCTAAACATACAATATGAAGTCCCCCAGGGATCAATTCTAGGTCCCTTGTTATTCCTCTGTTACCTGAAGGGTCTACCAGGGGTGATATGGGACAAGAACAGTAAAATTTGTCTCTATGCCGATGACACTAACATGATTGTAACTGCCAATAGTAAAGAAAACCTAGAAATTGCATCTCATATTAACTTATCAATGATTAAAGACTTTTTTGATAGTAAAAACCTTCTGCTGAATTCACAAAAATCTAATTTTGTAACATTTATAACCAAACAGACTAAGCAAAAATTAAATCCCACAATATTCATTGAAGAAAACTTAATATATCAATTAGAGAAAACAACTTTTTTGGGCTTAGTTATTGATGAAAACCTAACGTGGAACGACCATGTAAATCTTGTAGTTAAAA